AAAAAAAAAAAAAAAAAAAAATCACACAGAACATCATTTTCCTAACTGGAAAATAAGAGGGTTGAGCCAGATATTTTTCAAGGTTCCTCACAACTCCAAAATGTTTGCATGTTCTCCTTCCCCTTATGAGGACAACACTTTATTAAACCAAATCTATAGGCTTGACAGTGAATAAACATACTGATTAACATATGGAAAAAGTAACTAGGATCTCTTCCTACATTTTCATAAATGTCATTTTTTTCTAAAAAAAACTAAGATGGAATAAACTGATTGTTTTAGCCATTATTTTCTATTCTTAAGGCTGTAGTTCACTATGTGTTGATTCATCTTTGAGAATCCATGCACTTCACTGTCAAAATACTTATAGTCAATACCTAAAAGCTGTCAGGTTTATCAATACCATGTGAAAGCTTCAATTATTCAACTTGGAAAAAGGAGATGTTTACAGAACTAATTGAAATAGTTATTGTTTCACCAGGTATGACAGAAAAATATCAAGAACATTTAAATTTAAAAAATTTATTACAGTAAGGCAAATTATCACAAATTCCCACAAAATATTCCCTTTCTTTGAATGCCCTTATTGCATGCCTCTTTCCTTTTTGTGAAGCAGTTTTGAAGTCCTCTTTCATTAATGTTAGTTGCTCTGTAGTGGCTATATTAATGACCTTCATTGCATGACAATGTTTCACTTGCGTGGTCATTTTGACCATGCAAGGGGGAGCCAGAAGTTGCACAGAGTCAGATTCAGTGAATAAGGTGGATAAGGCTACACTGTCACATTTTTATAAGCATGCCTTTCTTTGAATGGCCTCAGCAATAGAAGATACTCAAGAAGGAAGACTTCTAGAACTGCTTCAGAAAGCAGGGAGAACCGTGGACACATGTTTGAAGAGATGGGGAGTATTCTGAGGGAAGTTCAAGGCAATGTACCTTACTGTAATACATTTTAAACATTCACTATACATTTTTATTTATTTATTTATTTACGTGTGTGTGTGTGTGTGTGTGTGTGTGTGTGTGGCCAGCTCAGCCCACCAGGGGGCGGGGCTGGCAGGCATGTGGTGCTGGGGGATTGAACCGCAGTCCCTGTGTTTTGCTAAGCTTGTTCTAAGTAGGTGCTTTAGACCACTGAGCCATCTCACCAGCCCTCACTATACATTTTGATCATCCTTTGTATATTAATCATGTTGCTTTGAAGGCACAATAAGGCACTTTCCATTGCTGAGAAAGGAAGAATAAGAGATACACGATTTTATCTCCAGCATAAAAATGCTCCTCTAAGAACATCTCTCATCAGCAGTTTATTAGGCTTAATTTCCTCTCATGATCTCATTAAGGGCATGCATTTGGGCCAGACTGGGTTTAAAATCTAGCTTTGCCTCTTAGCCAGTTGTATGTACAAACTCCTAACCCTTCTGCAGCTCACTCTCTCCTATATCTTGGGGAGGACAAGGTGTCTACCTCCAGAACTGTTGAGGATCAAATGAATTATTAGGTGTGAAGAGCTTAGCACAGATCCCTATACACAGCAAACATTAAAATAAAAAGTTAGCTAATATTATTATTCACTGCTTTATGGGCTCCTGAGCAGTATTTTTTTTAAAAAGTAAATTAGTTACTAATAAAGCCAAAAGAGTGAGACTGTACTTTCTCTGTAAACTGCTGTTTGGACTGTTTGTCTCTCAGTTGCTACATTTGTACCGGGAGAAGAAAATATCCCACTAACAAAGGAAGACTTGCTTGTTAGGTTCCCTTTAAAGTATAAACATCCTGGGCTGGTGAGATGGCTCAGTGGTCTAAAGCACCTACTTAGAACAAGCTTAGCAAAGTACAGGGACCGCGGTTCAATCCCCCAGCACCACATGCCAGCCAGCCCCGCCCCCTGGTGGGCTGAGCTGGCCACACACACACGCACACACAAATAAATAATAAAAATTTAAAAAAAATAAAAAATAAAGTATAAACATCCCCAAAGCCTGGATTTTAAACTCTGTTACAGGAAGAAGTAACCTGAGAGGTGGTAGTGGCAGTGCTGATTTACAAACTTGCTGACACAATGTTGTGAATGTACTTAACTGTGGAATTATATATTTTAAAATGTTATACTGAGCATGGTAGTACATGCCTGTATTCGTAGTACTCCTCTGAAGGCTGAAGTAGGAGGATTGCAAGTTCCAGCCCAACCTAGGAACTTAGTGATTGGTGAGACCCTGTCTTAAAACACAGAAAAAGTGCTGAGGTTAGGCACAGTGGTACATGCCCGTAATCCCAGCATTTGGGAAGCTGAGATAGGAGGATCACTCTGATTTGAGGCCAGCCTGTGCTACACAGCAAGATCAAGGATAGCCTAAGCTACATAATGAGACTCCTCTCAAAAAGAGTGGGGAAGGTGTGCCAGA